TCCCCCTTCCCCTTGATGTCTGCACCCCCAAATCTGTTCCACTGGGGCACCCCTGAAATCTGCACTCTAGAGCCTCATGTGAAGTCTGTTCCACTGGGGCACCCCTGAAATCTGCACTCTAGAGCCTCATGTGCCCCACTAGGTCTCCCCACACCCTGCTCTCTGGCACCTGCCCCTCCCCCTAAATCTGGCCCCCAGCTATGCCTCCCTCTGAACTGTCCCATGCTGCCCCCACGGCGCCTAAATCAGCCCCCAGATCCCCTTAGACCTGCCCTTCCCCTGCCCTCCTCCCCACCTCTGCCCCCCCCAGAAAAGGAGCAGGATGGGTGGGTTGGGGGGGGAGGGGGATTGACAATCTCTGTCCCAACAGGATTAGAACTGGAGGATGGGGGGAGGGCTGGGAGCCAGGACTCCTGGGTTCTCTATCCCTGGCTCTGGGAGGGATGTGGGGGCTAGTGGTTAGAGCGGGGAGGAGGACTGGGAGCCAGGACTCCTGGGTTTTCTCCACCGATTGGGAGTTTCTAAGAGCTCCTGTCCCCCAGACTCTCCCCGGGACCCCCTTTGAGATTCGAGGTTCCTACTTCAGGGCAGGGTTGCTCATTCCCAGGCTCCCTCTGTGACCCCTACATTCTCCTTCTCTCTCTCCTACCTGCTGGCTTGTCTTGGGGTCACCCCCAGCCCAGGGCGGCCAAGTGCCCCCCCATTCCTACTCGACCCAGTCCCGACAATGACCCTGTTGGCCTCCGAGCGCTCCATGCTCATCCGCAGCAAGTTCCGATCCGGTGAGTGGGGCTGGGAAACGGGACCCTGGCGCCAGGGCTTCAGGGTCAGACTGTAAATCAGGGAGCTGGGACCCAAGACTCCTGGGTTCTCTTCTCAGCTCCCGGAGGGGAGTGCGGCCTAGTGGTGTCAGCGGGGGGGATGCTGGAAGCCAGGATTCCTGGGTTCTCTCCTAAGCTCCCGGAGGGGAGTGTGGCCTAGTGGTGTCAGCAGGGGGGGGTGCTGGAAGCCAGGATTCCTGGGTTCTCTCCTAAGCTCCTGGAGGGGAGTGGGGCCTAGTGGTGTCAGCGGGGGGATGCTGGAAGCCAGGATTCCTGGGTTCTCTCCTAAGCTCCCGGAGGGGAGTGTGGCCTAGTGGTGTCAGCAGGGGGGGGTGCTGGAAGCCAGGATTCCTGGGTTCTCTCCTAAGCTCCTGGAGGGGAGTGGGGCCTAGTGGTGTCAGCGGGGGGATGCTGGAAGCCAGGATTCCTGGGTTCTCTCCTAAGCTCCCGGAGGGGAGTGTGGCCTAGTGGTTCCTGGAAGCCAGGCCTCCTGGGTTCTCTCCTAAGCTCCCGGAGGGGAGTGTGGCCTAGTGGTGTCAGCAGGGGGGGGTGCTGGAAGCCAGGATTCCTGGGTTCTCTCCTAAGCTCCCGGAGGGGAGTGCTGCTTAGTGGTGTGAGCAGGGGGGCCGGGACCCAGGTGCCTGAGACAGCAGATCCCCTGTCCTGGGTCCCCCAGGCCTCATTCTGGCCTATCCTGAGCTCCTGCCTGTGCCAGGACGGCTGGGTCCCAGAACTGAAGCGATTCCCTGGGGGCGGGAGGCGGCGT